AAATTTGGATGTTATGAATGTAATAAAGCGAAATTTAGAGCAAACGGCATTACTAATAAAAGTCAAAACTCAGCGTGATCAGGAAAAGTTATTAATGGATCAGAAATAAACAATAGTAATATAACATTTGTGCAAAGTTTGAGATGGTGTTATTTAATACGGGGCGCGCCACTTTTCTAAGTGACACTTTTTCGATTTTACAATACTCTTCACATATAAATTGTCGATCGTCCCTATTAAATGCGTGTGACCAATCTATCCAATGATAGGATTTTTTATCTATGCTATAAACCCTTGGGTAAACAATATGAAAATTAGAAGTTTCTGGGTCCTTGCGAATTTGGCGCAGTCATCACACAAATTCATGAATTTGGACTTTTCTCGTGTATGACAGAGTTCCATCGACTGTGTGTTGATCTCATAACATTAATACAACAATAACGCTGATTAAAGATGAAAAAAGATTGCAAAGAAAGCTTAAAAGAACCAGTAGCTTATTTATGTATCTAATCTATAACCTGACATATTCATTACCTATATAAATTAATCTGCTTAATACCCTTTGCTGTTTAAAGGTTATTGAGAGAATGTTTCTCAACCATCATTACATAGTTTTTTAGAATATCGAAAAAAAGTGAACCAATAAGCCGTCTTAATAAAGATTTTGAATATTTAAATTACAGGAAAGACTTAGATCGTATAATAACAGGATATAGATGTGGAACCACTTGGAATAAAATTGCAGTAGCTGCAAAAAGAAATTTACAGGTACGCGTTAAAAGATTATCTTGTTTGAGGTTTTTGAAGGCAAACCAAGGGCACATCATCAAATACTATAACAGGTTCCGTACTTGTTATGGGAAAGGTTCCGTGCTTGTTGATGAGCATATGTCCAGATTCTGGGTATATGGACGATTTGTGTTCTCTTCTGTGACGGCTTTCAAGCTTTATGTCTTCACTTCTCTAAAGTCAAGATTCACAAAGATCATAGCGAAATGTCGTGTTTGCGGTATTGTTTTCATGGAATGACATATCATCAAATATTGTAACAGGTTCCGTACTTGTTATGGGAAAGGCTCCGTGCTTGTTGATGAGCATATATCCAGATTCTGGGTATATGGATAATTTGTGTTCTCTTCTGTGGCGGCTTTCAAGCTTTATGTCTTCACTTCTCAGAAGTAAGATTCACGGAAGACCATAGCAAATGTCATGTTAGCCCATGTTTTCATCAATCTTAGTATATATGAACTTTTAACCGTACTGTATTAACTACACTATCCCATTTTTTTTATAGAGCGAATTGAACTTGTCATTAGTTAAGAATTTTTGGTTGTTACAAGATCAAGAAATTGCTGCAGATGTTGAGCTAAAAAAAAATTGGAATTATTGAAGGTATGTGGCAGATATGTGTGACCTGGACTTATACTACAATACATATTCTGTTCACTTTGTGTTTGTTTAATTTAGAGACGTGGAGCATCACAAGCCTATGAAACTGGAAACAATTACCTTTTACATACTTCATCTATAGTCAAAAATATAAATGTTAATAATTTGATTGATGAAAAATTTGGTGATTGTTGAAAATCCGTTCTGGGAAAATCAGAATTCGTTCACATCATCGACATCAACACCACCCATTGTTACCGCCACTACTGGCAACAGTAATGATGAAGGTTTCGATGAGCCAAATCATTTGCTTTTAGGTAAACGCTCACATAGAGATGAAGAATCTGTTGAGATTGATGAAATGATTATTGATTATACGAAGTATCCACTGTTAAAAAGATATCGCTCTTTACTTTCTGACTTACAACAACATCCAGTAGAAGAGGAATCACAGCGTGCCTGTCACGCCATTAGAATGATAAAGTGGTATGTAGTTGATAAAGAGATACTTAAGGAATTGGGTTAGGCAGAAGTTACACAGAAATTATTTATTTCAAAACCAAAATTTTGTTCGAAACTTGTTTCTGATGCGTTTAAACAACACTCAGATGGACGGCTTCTTCAGGCAGAACAGCCACTTCAAAAGTTGATTACGAAGAATAGAGTCAGAGATAGTGATCATAACTGGTTATTATCACCAATCACATCGATTATAGAAACTTTTCGTTAAAAATCAGATGATAAATATTTCAATATAGATGCTCTAACTGTCGTGTCGATTGTTTCCAATGTGATCTTGTACACACAAACACCTTGCCGTGGTCTGGGAGCCTCCCTTCCGAAAATCATGTTAAGGCAGAGCTGTGGACAAAAATATTATCTAATGTTTTCACACTCAAAAAAACAAATATGTTCTTGTTTGGGAACTCCATCAATTGGTTTCAGGAGACAGTGGTCGAGGTTCTGCCCGATCAGATTTTGCTGCAATTGTCACTAATCATAACGGTTTGCAATTTTCTTTTTTCATAGTAGAGTTTGAAAAAATGGTCGCGAAGTTCATAAAGACAACATAGTAGTTGTGTCAGAGGCAGCACATGAATTTAATCGTATGTTAACTTTAGCACGCAATTTATCGGAAGAGGAAATTAACAGAACGTGTATCCATAATGGTTTAGTGAACGGTACTCAAATAAGTTTCAGTACAATTACCCATTTTTAATCAAGAACAATCAACATTTATTTATGTTAATCATGACAACAAGCTTTCATATAATTTAAAAACGATAATATAGAGACAAACATTGAGAATGTTTTATGATTAGTTGTTTATCTGAGAGAAACTGTTTGTGAAGATGGACTGTGTATTAAAACAATATTGGAGAGGGAACCAACAAGACATGATTATAAATTAAAAGCATTACTACCTCGACTTCCAAACGAAGTTGCAAAATCGAGAACTTATAGTACTAATTTTACACCACATGCAAAAAAGCAGCGATATATCTTTCTTAGGTCCTAGATATTTTGATATATCATAAATTCACCCGATAAAAGATTATTCTTTCATAAAATTTGGAGAGATTTATTTTTCATTTATATAATCTGAATAATCTGCACAAAAAAATCTCATTGTTGAAACTTTTTTAAATGCTATTAATGAAAACTATTGTAAATATCTATTGATTATTGGATTTTTTAAACAAAATAAAATTCTGTTTAATCAAGGATTTTTACCTGAAATGAGCTGGGGGTGGCGTTTTTATAATTTTTCAATACAAGGCAGGATTGTGTGTGATTATTTACTTTGTTTAAAAGATAGTCTTGAATGTGAAGTTTGTTCGAACAACTCGAACAATGTTTTTATTGATATGATGTAATATAACAATCACTAATTAATACATCATAGATGAATCAACCTTTTGTATTTCAGTTTCACCATCTTGGAATTATCAGTGATTGATGGTTGCGTAACAATCCATTCCACATTGTTGTATAACAACTTTGCTGACTATATTTTCTGATTAATGGTTGCAATCCTATTACTATGAAAAATAAAATACGGAATTAATGTATTTCTTATACGGTTTTTTTTTGAAAAATTTCCCTTCCCAAATTTAGTGAAGTACGGGATTTGTAACGTATTAATATTAATATATTAATATACTACTAAAGCTAATATACATATACATAAGAACGGTTGATGTTTTTTATGCAAGATATTTTTCTTATTTGTATTCATTGGTCAAGATTGACAAGGTTTTTTATAACAAACTGAACACAGACTTTCCATCTAAACGTTAAAATTCAAAAACAAACATATATATATATAAACCTTTAACATCAAATTTATATATTTTTATAAATCCAATCTAATTCCATCAATAAAATTTTCCTCGATTGCTTGTAATCCATACATTATAAAAAATATCGAAACATTGGTGAATATTATTTGATTTTTGATTTGCTATCGGAATTAAAAGTCGAAATAATTTTGGATAGTCGAAATGTTTTGGGATTTTGGATAGCCAAACTATTTTCCATGTTAAAATATTAACAAAAGATAGTTTAATCCATTCTTAAGTTAAAATAATTTTTATTTTTCATTATTATTAAAAAAACTAATTAGAAATTGACTTTTCTCCATCATCAAGTAAATCAGATAAATTTTTCTAAAAAAAAAAAAAATAATAAAGTTATTAAAAATATATTACAAGTAATGATATAATAATTGATGATTACCTTGCACAAGATCTCAATATCACCATAAGGTTGTTTTTGTTGTAAATGAATAACATCTTTTGTATTCAGCACTAACAATTCAAAAAACAACTTTACAACTTCTTGTCGCTTAGCCTAAAAATATTGATATTAATAATGCAATCTTAAAAATCATATATAGTTAAATTAAATAAAATTAAACTATTTACCACTCCAACAAAATCTTCAAAGCTTACAACTGCTGGCCTTGACCTGGTTGATTCACTGGAAACTTTACCACTAACTTGTTCTTGTTCAGGGCATTTGCTTTTCAAAAGTTTCATTGCATTAATTGTATTTTTACTAAATGATGCCTCACTACCTGTTATTGGTTGTTCCTGTGTTTCGTCTTAAGATTATTATTATATAAGATAATTACGAAATAAATTAATTAATAGCTAAATAATAAACGTATGAATGGATGGATTATAAAATTTAAAATCACCTTGTTCATTAGAAGGAGTAGTTGGTACATCAGGAACTTTTGCAACAAACTAAATATAATAAAAGTTAACATTTATTATAAATAAATACGTTTATAATAAAGATTCACATATTCATTAATTAATTCAATATAAATATATTTACCATTGATTCGTCGTTTTTATTGTTATTAGTAGTATTATTGATATTAAGATTACCATTATCATTATCACTGGTAATATTATTGTTGATTGTTTTTTCATTTTCCGGCACATCAGGAAAATCTGTATCAAACTACATATAACAAAAATTACATTTATTATGAATTAATACATGTATAATATATTCATCAATTATTAGAATATAAATATATTTACCATTGGTTCTTCATTGTCATTATTATTAATGCTATTGTTATTATTATTGTCGTTATTATTATTAATATTATTGTCATCAATATCAATATCAATGTCATTGTAATTGTCATTGTCATTATTATTACTTATAATAATATCATCGTTATTTATGTTTTCATTTTCTGACACATTTAAATTATGTTCAGCTTGATCTGGACGCACCAATATCATATACATATACACAGATATACGTTAATTTTAATAATATTTAATAAAATGCTAGATATTAATAACGAACTACCTGGATATGATGCCACATCAGATTCTTCTTCTATAGGCGGTGTTGTCTCTCTTTGACGTTTCCCTTCAAATAGATACTTGAAGTTAGGATTGATATTATGTGGTGCTGTCATATCAAGGAAGTAGTAAGGACCCATTTGACGTATTTCTCCTATACGTAATAATTTATGTGAAGCAGGCAAAAATGTAGGCTACAGAAAATATATGGATGAATTGAGCATTGATGTGCATGAAAATTTATTAATTGGCAGTAATGATAAAATAATTGTAATATTGCAATAATAATTTAATGATAAATACCTCTATCAAGATATCAGAAGTATCTTTGATTTGATTTGAAATATGTTTATTTGTTAGTTCTGTTACCTCATCCAAAACTAATTTACGTTTTCTACGAGCTTGTGTAGTTTTTTGTGCATTTTGTTGCTGTTGTTGCTCTTGCTGCTGTACTTCTTCTTGTTGCAGCTGTTGTTCTTCTTGTTGCGGCTGCTGTTCTTCTTGTTGCGGCTGTTGTTCTTCTTGTTGCGTAAATTCGATATCCTGAAATAATTCTTCTACATTGTTATCTAAATTTAAAAAAAATCAATAATTTGTCACAGAAAGTGGTGTGCTACAGAAAATATAAAGAATAAAGTTTTTTTACCTTGTCTTTCAAGACTTTGTTGAGATATTGGACTAAATATAGGAGGCTCAATGTAATTTTCACTATTCATATGTTATTGGATATTGTAAATAAAACAGTTTAATTTAATTTAGATCCATATAAACATACACTTGTATATTAATAAGAATAGCCTTTTACGTTATTCCTTCCATTGGGTATTGTTCGTCGCCTATAGGACTCTTTTCAATCAACTCATCTATAACAATAGGAGGTTCAGAAAGACGCTCACGTGCTTTCTCTGGAGACTCCGATCCTTCTTCGCTAGCAACATCACCACTACCGCCAACTTCTTCATCAATAATGTCTGTCGACTTTGGATCAATTTCATCATCAAAGTCAAAATCGAGTCCTTTACCATCCACCAAGCCTATTAATAAATCAACCGCAGGAATATTTGAATCCATTGTAATATCAAAATTATCTGTAATAGTAATATCTTGCGGTCTTGATATATTGGAACTTGTTGCGGTGGTAATAACTTCTGACCATTGACTTTAAAAATGGGATTTATTTTTTATTAAAATACACGCACACAAACATATATATATGAATGGATGGATGAATTACACATATACCAAATATTTATATGCATACCTTAAATTTAATTGTGGATCGGGTAATAATATATCAAACTCTGTAATATTTTCGGGTAATGTGATAGATTCAAAATTCGCAACTCGTTGATCCTCTGGAATATCAACTTCACCAGGTCTAAATGCCTTTTTATTATGTAATGTTAAGATGATGATGATGATAATTTTTTAAAAAAATGATGTATATTAGAAAACGATAAATCAAAAAAAACGTAATATATATTCATTCATTAAAAGATCAACAATAACATAATAATAATAATAATAAATCATATACCATTTTTATTTTTAAAAGGGCTTCAGTACAATCTTCTAACAAATATTTCGCTTTACGTGAATATATTCTAACAACACCAAGTAATAATTGTCCTGATAATCTTAAAGCCATCGGAGGTTGGTCTCCACCAAGTATTGCCCCTTTATAAAATTTGAAAGTATATTGTAAATTTTTTTTTATAGTTGGTTACATAGGATCATTGTTCAGTTTTAAAGACTTGAATAATCAAACAACATCACCTAAACTAAAGTATAAATTATGGATATGCTTACCAACTGATGTTTGTATATTTGTTTGTAAAAATTGCGTTTTACTAAGTTTTCTTTCCCAATGTGCAGCCAACCATACTTTAGCAAGTGGCCCCTTTTATCAGTAAAGTTCATATAATATAAAAAATTTTGAATTATTTCATTAAAATTCTCAGAGATCTTAAAGAATAACCTCTCTCTCTCTCCCCCCACCGTTTACTAACCTTTTTAGATAGAATAGCCTCTGAGTAAAACATTTTTTAGCAAAAAAAAATTTGAAATGGTAAAAAAGTAAGATGGAAATAATGAAATTAAACAATAATTGGATTGAGTTGCGTAACTATAGAGAAAAAAAAAAATCGCGAAACAAAGCAAATGTAAGTAAAAATCATGACGAAAATATTCAATGCTGCTGTAACACAAGCTATAAATTAAATTCTCCAAATAAATGGGGAAATTAATTATTTGTTCTAAAGTTTATCAAATAAGGTTAATATATGCAATGTTTGTTTAACTGTATGATTTGATTATAAAAAAAAACAGATCATGAGCAGAGTGCGAAATACTATTATAATTACTATTATATAAAATTCCGGAAACTCCGATAAAATTATATTAATATGTCATCTTGTCAGCATCCAGGAGAGATATTTTAAACAGAAATTAAATGATCTTTTAGAATTGTCTGATGAAATATTGACAGTTTCTTGATTAGAAGCACGATTTCTTCCATTCATCAAAAGCAGAATCAACGTTCACGTAAAAATCTATTCAAATTAATTTTTTTTCACATCTAGAAATATAAAATTTATATGCATTGGTTTTCTCAATTTAGAATATAGTTATCTTTAATTAACAACTTTAAATTTTTAAAGAAAATAGATAATATTTAGCAATACCGTTGCCATCTTCTTTTTCATCATTTCCATTAATTAAAAAATTTCGGTGATTCTCATAATTAATTAGTAAAGTTTTATCAACCTAGTCAGGATGAGATTAACTAATACTTTTAACACTACCATTTGAATAAACGAACTTGCTCATCATACATTCGTTTCACATAAATGCCTATTAACCAAAAACACCTTTAAACGACAAATTTCTTTTTATCAAATTTGTACTACAAATATTAAAAAAAACAAATATTAAAAAATGTGTATCACTTTTGAACTTTCCAACAAGTTAATATATTGATTGATTAAAAAAAAGAAATATATAATATATATATATATATATATGCGTAATAACAACAATAATAATAATTTTAAATTTTATTGAAATATTAACCTAAAAAAAGTGATTGATAAATCAAACAATGGGACAAGGCGATTCACGGCCTTTACAAGAGATGGTTGACAATAGTGACGAAAATATTCAATGCTGCTGTAACACAAGCTATAAATTAAATTCTCCAAATAAATGGGGAAATTAATTATTTGTTCTAAAGTTTATCAAATAAGGTTAATATATGCAATGTTTGTTTAACTGTATGATTTGATTATAAAAAAAAACAGATCATGAGCAGAGTGCGAAATACTATTATAATTACTATTATATAAAATTCCGGAAACTCCGATAAAATTATATTAATATGTCATCTTGTCAGCATCCAGGAGAGATATTTTAAACAGAAATTAAATGATCTTTTAGAATTGTCTGATGAAATATTGACAGTTTCTTGATTAGAAGCACGATTTCTTCCATTCATCAAAAGCAGAATCAACGTTCACGTAAAAATCTATTCAAATTAATTTATTTTCATATCTTTATAACATCATTATTCTTTCCTTTACGAAAATTTGATTTTTTCCATAAGAACTTGGTTTTTTTTTTTTCGAGAAAAAACTTAGAACCAACAAAATTGATTTTTACAATTACTTTTTTATGATAAGATCGTGTAACAACATTAATATTTATAACGTTTTCTCAATACAGCAATAATAACAATACAAGACATCAATGTAGTCTGGATGAATGAGATTCATGGGTGGTGTGTGAATGAATGCGCTAATAATCTTTTTTTAAAAAAATTTATCTGCATCTTTGTTCCATCTTTATTATTATTCTCATTAATTAACCAGTTAGCCATTGATTGATTCACTCGCTGTCTTGGACAAGGAAAGTAAAAATTTACACACGTTCTTTCACATATTTACCAAAAAAAAAAAAAAAAAACTAGTATATATATATATATATACCATAAGAAAGGATTACTCATCTTTTATTTAAATAAATTACTCAAAACCAAAAATCAATAAATAAAATGTTACTATCAATCTTACTACTAGAATTCATTCAATGTCAAACTTTTTGCAATATCAGTTGACTCTACTATCGAACAAAATTCCTCAAAAGAAATCTTTCCATCCATATCCTTATCAGCTTCCATAATTGTTTTATCGACAATTTGTTGAAGTTGATTATCTTTAAGATTATTGCCAACCATCATCTTCAATACAATAAATAATTCTCCATTGGAAATTAATCCATCTCTATCCATATCATATACCTTAAAGGCAACTGTTTTTTATTTAATGTAATAATTTGTAATTATTAGTATTATGTCATATGTAATATGCAATAATACATAGTGTGCAATAATAGCATGTAAATATATATAACTTCATAATGCACATTCATCAAAAATTTTTTTTTTTTTACTTACAACGCAATTTCTCATCTTTGTTTCCTTTTGAACTGAAAGCACTCAATCCAGCAATAAACTCTTTGAAATCTACATCTCCACCTCCATCTTCATCAAATATAGCAATCATTCTTGATGCTAATGGATTATTGGCGATTTGTGGAATAGAAAGAAATTCTTCTCGTTCTATGGAACCTGATTTATCTGTATCAAGTTTCATAAATCTTTTATAAAGCCTTTGTATTTCTTCAGCGGAAACTATAACAAATAGAAAGGTGGAGGGAAAAAGGAAATGCGAGATAGTGGAAAAAGAAAAACAGTGCTTGTTAGCAAAAAAAGAACAAATAAATTAATATATAAAAGAATGCTTTTAAAATGTCACTGTTAAAAATTAATATTGTGTTTCTCGCGCTTGATATTTACAATTACTATTGTCAACCATCTCTTGTAAAGGCCGTGAATCGCCTTGTCCCATTGTTTGATTTATCAATCACTTTTTTTAGGTTAATATTTCAATAAAATTTAAAATTATTATTATTGTTGTTATTACGCATATATATATATATATATATTATATATTTCTTTTTTTTAATCAATCAATATATTAACTTGTTGGAAAGTTCAAAAGTGATACACATTTTTTAATATTTGTTTTTTTTAATATTTGTAGTACAAATTTGATAAAAAGAAATTTGTCGTTTAAAGGTGTTTTTGGTTAATAGGCATTTATGTGAAACGAATGTATGATGAGCAAGTTCGTTTATTCAAATGGTAGTGTTAAAAGTATTAGTTAATCTCATCCTGACTAGGTTGATAAAACTTTACTAATTAATTATGAGAATCACCGAAATTTTTTAATTAATGGAAATGATGAAAAAGAAGATGGCAACGGTATTGCTAAATATTATCTATTTTCTTTAAAAATTTAAAGTTGTTAATTAAAGATAACTATATTCTAAATTGAGAAAACCAATGCATATAAATTTTATATTTCTAGATGTGAAAAAAAATTTTTTTTTTTAATGATACTCTAAAGCCTACATAATAATGTGATAGTCTGAAAGCTCACATAATAATGTAATAGTCTGAAAGCTCTTGTTTTTCAATATGAGTTTTATTGCGTGATTTTGTTTAAAGATTTCAACATCTAATATTTTAAATTGCATAACATTCAAAAATTTTGCCATGATTACAACCATATAATGAACATCTCACAACCATATATACCCATATTCAAAATTGTTTTTGTCCCCATTAGAAATTAATTTACTATATGAATTTGCTGGCTGAACAAACAAAGCAACATTATCAAATCTGCGCCACGCGCTCGCAAAAAATCTAGAAAATCACGTGTTTTAAATGAAAAAATTGAAGGTTGAAAAAAGATCATCTTGATGGTATTTGTTGGGTAATGGGTCACACAAACATCGTATGATTAACCCATTCCAAGAATGGCATGATCATCATAAAATGTTTGGTCAGACCTCAGCAAAAAAAAAAAAATATCATCTTGATGGTATTTGAAACATCACACAAGAGAAATCCGAAACTATACACAGACAGTATGTGCCCTAGGTGCCTAGAAAGTAAAGATGACCAAATACACATCTGGAATTGTAATGCAAATAAAACTTTTGTGTTGGAGATAAGTTGCTTTGAGATACATTTAATGTTAAAATGTAGTAACAATAATAAAGACTAGTGCCGTAATCCAAAAAAGGAAAAAGTATGGTTGCAAAAGTGGTTGCAAAAGTAATTGCAACCACTTTTTATATGCCGTAAATACAATTACTACCATCATCATAATTTACGGCACTAGTCTTTAAAAGAAAAGATTAAAAATTTCTTTATGAAATTTGGATTGTGTTATATGGAAATTATCCAATTAAATCAAAAATTTATGTTGATGATTTCTAAATTTATCCTAGTTAGATGATGAATTTTATACATTGGTCACGTGGGGTGCATTTATGGAGAGAGTTTTCATATGAGCAGACCAAAAAAATACTGTGCAGTGCAGAGTATGGAGGGTGTGTATTTATCACTAAGTCCTGAGGTTGGGACCGAAACATAGCATGCATTTATGGGGGTGCACATTTATGGAGAGTGCGCTTATGGAGGTCTGACTGTATTAATATTTGTTTTTTCAAATTTGCGTTGACGATCTTCAAGCCAATAAAATTTAATTTTTGCATGATATCTGGAAGGGAGATTGTCACAAAATTTAGTCAATGAAATCAAATGTCCACTAGTAAAATTTGGATGATCTGCATCATAATAAAATTCAAATTTACATAGTAAAATTTTATAATTGAATGTCTTCACACCCTCATTTGATACACTTGCTGTGTAGCAACAACCACCAAATTTGAGATATAATTTCTTTATCATATGTATCTGCTTTAAAAAAATTTTTTAGGTAGGTTGTTAATAAAACTGATCCTCAAAGTCAAAATTTTGCCTTTATATTCATATGTGTAAAATTTTGTTTGACACATCCAATTGCAAGTATAAATGTCCAAATATTACATTATTATGAATATTTGCAGATTTTTGATCACTTAGGTATGTCTTTTATAGTAAAATCATTTATTTCAAAAGTAAATATAATAAATAAATAGATTTTAAAATTTTTCTTTACCTATATACATAATAATGATTAGAATGATAAACAAGCAACAATAATGATTAAATTAAAAGGTGTTTTATCTCTGACTTTATTTATTTAATTATTTATTATAGTGATATAAGTTAAAATAAAAGAGAAATTTATATACATAAATAAATAATAAATATAACTATTGAATAATTGATAAAACATTCATTAGAATATTTTGCAAGCTTCATAGATCTCGTCCTTAACATTTACTTCAAACTCCTACACAAACTGGATCTTAATCTTTATTATTATCCTCAAAAAATGATGATTTGTTATCATCATTTGCTATTTATTGCTACTAATATTATTGTTTAATGTTTCTATAACAACTACTGATTGATAGATATTCGTAATAATCATTAATGAAACTTTAATCAATATAAAACAATCACTAATAAAATACCTTTTAGTTTTTGCTGAATCCCATCTACATAAAATTCTTCATGACTATTAAAAATTTCTATAAAATAGTTTTTAGTGAGCCTCTTTAAAACTTATTAACCAATATCCCCATAAAGTAATTTACTATCAAGTCTTTTAAAGTGATATTGAGAAATAATCTGAGCTTTGAAGTGAAAAAGTAATACCATTTTTGAATAGCTGTGAATTCATGTAGAGAAGACCTTTCAATATGAAAGAGTATTCTAACAATGAAGTTTGAGTTTATTATAAAAATAATGAGATATTTTAAAAAAACTTCATGTGACACGAATTTCGAATTTATTTTCACATATTAATATTATTAATATCCTCAGGGAAATGACAAAAAAATATTATTCGATATTAATTAATATTTAATATAGATTATTTTGTTGAATTGAATTCTATTTTTTTAAATTTTCTTTTTGACATTTTTTTAACTGCTTCAATTCCTCATTTGTAAATTCCTTAAACTGTTGTTCAAACAAACAAGTTTACTTTTTCAATAGCCAATAAAGCAT